AAAAAACATGGATGTGAGAGAAACATTGATTGGTTGCCTCCTGTATATGCCCCAACTGGGGATCGAACCAGAAACCTAGGTACTGGTATGTGCCCTACCTGGGAATTGAACCCGTAGCCTTTTGGTGTACGGGACGATGCTCCAACCAATTGAGCCACTGGCCAGAGTTACATTCCTTTTTCTTACTAACGCTCAGAAATCTGGTGTATATTTGCACTGAGGGTACCAGGCCATTGGAGTGGGCCACACTGTCAGTCCTCTGTAGCTACTTGCATGTACTGTTCTGCTCAGTCAGATCTCACCTCCAGGCTGTCTGACCCTCCCTTCCTGGGCCTCTGGCCATCATTCTGACTCTTCCCTCACCAGGTCTCACCCAGATGCTGGCAAAGTCCTTCCCATTCCCAACCATCTGTGCTATTACTACTGCCAGGAAACTTTCTAAAATGAACTCAGACTTTGCCATGCTTCTGCTAACCAACCTCCCATGGCTCCCACTGCCTATGCAAAATCGGTCCCTCCAAGTAGGTAGGCGCTGTCATCCACTCCAACCACATTTCAGTCCTCTCAGAAGTGATGCCCTTTCAGCTCTTCCTGTTCCAGGAAACTCATCTCTCCATTTACTTCCAATTCCTTTGCTCACCTGCCTCCTTCGACCTACAGGCTCTCTGCTCTCAGCTCTAGTTCTTCTCCAAGGTCACCACTGGCTCTCTCTATCTCTCCAACAGATGCTGCAATCAGCTCAGGATGACTGTATATATCTGCTTTTTGGTGTCTTACACTGTTTGCTCATTCAGAACTAAAAAAATTTACCTGTACTCAACTCATCTTTCCCCCAAAGATCCTGCGAAACACGTAGCTTTACTGTAACTTGAAGATCTCGACAACAGTACCACAAATAATTCCCTGAGGTCCTACCATGGAACTAAGCAACAGAGAAACAGAGACAAGTGGACACTGTGCTTCAAAGAGCTCAGCACAACAGGGCCAATGACACACAAAACGCTTCTCACTTTCTCTTCTGTAATCTTTCAGGTTTTGCTCACTCTTTATTTGCTTCCAACACAGAAACACATTAACCAACTCTGGGCTCTACTACATGTCTATAATAATAAAAGCATAATATGCTAATTAGGCCAGGCGTCCTTCCGGATAACCATCCGGATGAAGCTGTGTCGGTGGGAGGGGGCGAGGGGGAAGGGGAGGGAGGTGGGGACCGAGGCAGAGGCAGCCGCCATGGCAGAGGAGGTTGAGGCAGCCTGCGGCTGCAGCGGCGGGGCTGAGCCCCTTGAATGAATTTTGTGCATCGGGCCTCTAGTGTACATAGAAAAGGCGTCTGACAGAGGCCTGGTGCCATAAGCAGCAGGGCTGGCCGTGTGGTGGTTCTCTGGGCAACACCCTGCCCACCACACAGTCCTTTCTCCACACCATCCTGCCACTCGGTGTTCAGGACGGGCACACCCAGGGCACTTCACTTTCTTCATGTTTTTACTGTGTCACACTCCACTAATCTCTAACAACATATATTGTGGCAACCGGTCTCCTACATTCATGATGACATTTTATATATGCGACTCAGTACATTGTTATTGATACCTTTTATCAAAATATAATCTAAAAATAGAGTTGGGATAAACAGAAGACAATGTGTTTTCTGGCAGAGTGGGTCAAGTCTGTGATGGGGTCTTTAAATTTTAAGGCCAATCTAATCAGAAAAGAAACACTGTTGCCTAAGAATTTAAAGTTTTGATAAGCAGACATATAAAACTAAAAAACAGAACCGGAAATTACCTGCTGCTTTGTTCTCTTCTTTGGGAGAAACAACCTGTTGCAAAAGAAAACACAACCGTTAACCCAGGCCCGGGAAGAGTGAAAAAACCAGACGAACCAGGCACGAAATCACAGCGACAGAATGTGGCCTCACACAAAACCATGTTGGCTTACCTTGCAGGGCAAACCTGCCACCTGCAGAGCACCATTCTGCTTCCTTCCCCTTTCCCTGTCTGGAAATACTCCCTTGTCTCAGTTCTGAACACTGAGTCTCAGGCCTCTAGCGCACTGCCCTGTTTGATCAGCAGAGTTGGCTGATACCTATATATCCTGCATGGCTTCTTCTAAGACTGAGTAACAGCAAATGCCGGGCTGCCACCATTGGGAGAAATTTCTACCAATACTGTCACTTAAAGATACAAACACTACAGCCCTGACCGGTTTGGCTCAGTGGATAGAGCATTGGCCTGCGGACTGAAGGGTCCCAGGTTTGATTCCGGCCAAGGGCATGTACCTTGGTTGCAGGCACATCCCCAGTGGGGGGCATGCAGGAGGCAGCTGATCGATGTTTCTCTCTCATCGATGTTTTTGACCCTCTATTCCTCTCCCTTCCTCTTTGTAAAAAATCAATAAAATATATATATATATAAAAAAAAGATACAAACACTACAGAGTCAGAGGGACCTGGTTACACCCATTCCAGCAGGGTATAGAGGCGGAAACGACACCCTGGCAGGTTTCAGGGCCCTGTCGGAGGTGACATAGGCAGCAGCAGCTGGAGGAGGACAGAGCCTCTCCTCTGACCACAGAAGTTTTCAGGCTCCCCATAGACATGCAGTCTGATAGCGATTTTTAGTGTTCCGTGAAATCCCTTTGAAATAGGAATGTGCTCAGGTGGGGCACTGCCACCAGGAAAGCTGGCCATGCCCAGTGCCAATCTGGCCACTCACCGTGGCTCGCTTCACCTGGCGGGGGGGACTAGGCTGTGGGGACGGTTTCTTGGGCTGCTGGACTTGCTGTGGCGGCGGCGGCGGCTGGGTTGATGGCTGCGGGTCCTTCTGTGGGGGCTGCGGTGGTTCAGGGCCTGGAGCCGACTGTGATGGTGGCACTGGTGGCACTTGTGGTGTGGGGTTGAGCGATGGGGGCTGATGCAGCTGATGAGGCGTGTGATGAGGCATCTGTTGTTTTCCTTGTGAGTAAAGATCCAGGATTTGGTGGCAGATATCTAAATGATAGGCGACAATTACATTTACCACAGATGGATATTTGAAATAAAATTTTACCTAGAAAAATAAGCCAGCCCATTTCCCTTTGAGCCACGATTCTCATACAAGGACCAACATGTCAAAATCCTATTTGGAATTCACCCTGCCTCTACTGTGCACAGCACTGGTGGGTATTTTCAGGTCACCAAAACGATTTGCTTGGAAAGAGTGGATATTACATTTGAAATGTTAGTCACAGATGCTTCTGAAGAAGAGTTTATGCAGGCCTATCGGGAAATCTGTTCAGGAATCACGTTCTCAGGGCAGCACCATCCCAACATGGAACCCCCTCACAGAATGATCGGCATGCCCAGTACCTTCCAGAACATCCACAGGGACATCTTGCACAAACTGCTCCCACCATCTCCGATACATGGGTTTGGAGGTCCATTCTTGTATTTCAAATTTGCACAAACGTCCCGCGAGATACATCACTGCCACTGCTATGATCTCTGGTTCCCACTGCAGTGACAAGGTCGTGCAGAGACTAGTTCAACAGGAAAAAGAGGTGACTTCACTTGGATGAACAAACATTTGTGATTAACTCAATCCATGAAAGTCAGATGCTGCATCTAAATGGCAATTTGCTTATCCTTCTCTAAACACCATCAAATAAAGTATTACACATAGAGTGCTCTAAAAGTATAAAAATAAGTTATTTTAACCACAGTTACTTAAAAAATGTGTTCCTTAAAGAATCAGAATCCCAGCCCATTAAAAAACTGCCATGCCATGAAATACAAGTGAAAATGATTTATGTTCTTCAAACTGTTGAAATCCTAGCTAGAGAAATGTTTCTCCCAACAGCGACAACTCCACTCACAGGCACTTTGTTCCTCATAGATCCCTGGGCTCTAGAACATCAAGGATCTAAAACCGTGACACCATATGGTGTTTGTGTTTTTGCAGAATCAAATGGGTTCTCAGTATTTAGTTGTCCAAACTCTCTGGGGTATTGTTTTAGATTTATGTTTCAAACTGGAAATAAGATTTCAGGATCCTGCATCACCATGACATGGCAGGGTATTGCCTCTGCTGGCAACAGGAGACCTGGACTTTGGCCCCAGCTCTGCCCTTCACTGGCTCCTCAAGCTGGGTCAAGTCAGTTTCCTTGATATAAAGTAGGGGTTTGGGTAAAGTGACATATGAAGTCCCTGGGTATTTAAAAACACTATAATTAAAGACTATACTTTCAGGAATCATTTCTATAGTTTGTTAAAAAACTGTAATTAAATCAACATTTGAGTATATGTACCTGTCATTTACAAATGTCCATGCCATTTGAACCAACTTTTGAATTTTGTTTTTATCACCTAGAAATGGGGGGAGGGGGGAAAGGTAAATTAGTAGGAAAAGAAAATAAAGCAGCAGCACAAGAAGCAACAAGTACTCATATAAAGCCCAGGTACCCTCAGCATCATTCCAATACACAGCGAAGAGCTTTCGCATGGGAGACAAGGACAAACGAGTGGGTCCAAGCCCCACCTCTGTTCTCTCCACACGCTCTATGCTGAGAGCCACCGTTTATGGGAAGCCTGGCTCCATGGCCGAATTTATTAGGCTATTTAAAAAGTTCTGACTCATTTTCCTGTCTCATACCACTTGGCAACTGGATGACAGAATCTGTTTATACACAAAAGGAAACAGTACTAATAGCCACAATATTGAGATGTCTGGGCAAGCTATAGCCCAGGTACTTCACACACTGAATTTTCTGCTTTCCTCTTTTAAGCATAATCGCAGTGTCATCAAACGATGATGAAGACTTGGTTTCAGAATAAAAAAGTTCTTTTAATAACTTTTTCTTACCTTTGAGTTGTTTTGCATATTTGAGTAGGAACTGGTATGGATGTTCTACCTGTAAATCAAACTTTATAGTCTGGAGTAAGATTCTCTCCAGAACCATTACTTCTTCCTAAAAATAAAATAATAAATGTTGGGGTTGTAGTTTTAGTCACAGGTCTAAATCAGTATTTAAAAAGTGAACTTTTCTATTTATTATTTTTTAAATATAGTTTTACTGATTTCAGAGAGGGAGAGGGAGAAAGTGATAGAAACATCAGTGATGAGAATCATTGATTAGCTGCCTCCTGCACATCCCCCACTGAGGATTGAGCCTGCAACCTGGGCATGTGTCCTGACCAGGAATCGAACCGTGACATCCTGGTTCATAGGTCGATTCTCAACCACTGAGCCATGCCAGCGGGGCTGAAAGTGGTGTTTTTAGAACATAACACAGTCATGTATGTAATTATTTTAACACCATTTCCTGACATGAGCAGGGATTGTGGGGAAAAGACAGGATGGGTGGTATAACCAATAGCAATCTCTGGGTGCCTGAGAATAGCTGCAAATGTCAATTCCTCCCACCATTCTTGGGAAGCAAAAGACACACAGCACATGCAATGCAGATACATGTACGCAGAGCACTGGCACTATCCATCTACCCAGAAGCTGCCAGCACCCCTGAACCAAAGAAGCCACACTGCTTCTGGTCTAGGAGCACAGCCAGCCAGGAGGGGACTTTGTTCCTATCCACGACATGTGCTATCGCCCCTAAAGTGCTCAGAACATGACTTGGCACGTTAGCAAGCGCTACCTAAGTGTGGCTACATCCTCTTTCCTCCTTACAGAAGCAAGGGAAAGTACCTCTGCACAGGGACCTGGGACTGGAAGATACAGGAGTCACAGCCATTGCCAACACAAGGACCTCTATCTTTTTTAATTTTGTTCATCTTCACCCAAGGATATTTTTTTCCATTCATTTTTAGAGTGGAAGGGAGGCGAAGAGATAGACACACATGATTGGCTGCCTCCACACAAGAGCTGGGGATCAAATCTGCAACCTAGGTACATGCCCTTGAACACTGACCCTTCAGTCCAAGGGCCAATGCTTTAACCACTGAGCAACTGACTAGGGCAAGGACCTCTATCCTTCAAAAAAAAAAAATATATCTATATTTATTATATATACTAGAGGCCCAGTCATGAAATTCATGCACAAGGGGGAGGGGGTCCCTCAGCCCGGCCTGCCCTCTCGCAATCTGGAATGCTGCATGCATCAGTGACCATACTCTTCATACAGGTGAAAGGCATCTTGCTGTTGTATGGGCAGCTAGATTTTTTTTTGCCCTAATTATAAAAAGTAGTACATAACATGATCTTTCTGAGGCAGTAGTACCATTTCCCCATATTATGGGTGGAAAAACAGAAGCAGAGAAAAGTAACTGGCTTTGTCACACATTTATAAGCGTCAGAATCAGGGCTGACCACAAAATGTGCAAGCCAGAGTCCATACATGTCATCGCTGAATCATCCTGTTTTTTCAGTTAGAGTAGCCTTGCCAGGTTTCAATTTTTAAATCTAAGACACTGTTCCCAATATATAGGGTAGGATCCCTAGGCCTGGCCAGCAATCAGGGCCAATCTGTGGGGCGACCGGGGGGCCCCTGCTGGCACCCACTTTGGCTGGCGGCCTGGCACTGCCTGCTGGCCAGCACCACCTCCCAATTGCTGCTGCTAGTCCCCTCCGTGAGAGATGACCAGCGGGGCGTTTGCTGGCTGTCCCTGCCCCGATTGCTGCTGCCTCCCTCTTGGGGGGCAGTGTGTGTCATAGGGACTTGTTGTTCTGCCGGCCGTTCCACCGTTTGGTCTATTTGCATATTAGGATTTTATTATATAGGATATATATATATATTTATTGATTTCAGAGAGGAAGGGAGCGGGAGAGAGAGAGAGATAGAAATATCAATGCTCTGCCCTGACTGGTTTGGCTCAGTGGATAGAGCGTCGGCCTGTGGACTCAAGGGTCCCAGGTTCGATTCCGGTCAAGGGCATGTACCTTGGTTGCGGGCACATCCCCAGTAGGGGGTGTGCAGGAGGCAGCTGATTGATGTTTCTCTCTCATGAATGTTTCTAGCTCTCTATCCCTCTCCCTTCCTCTCTGTAGAAAATCAATAAAATATATTTAAAAAAAAAAAAAAAAAGAAATATCAATGCTGAGCATCACTGATCGGCTGCCTTCTACATGCCCCACTGGGGATCGAGCCCACACCCCGGCCATGTGCCCTGACCTGGAATCGAACTGTAATAGGTTCATAGGTCAACCACTGAGCCACACCAGCCCAGCAGGACCTCCCATCTTAATGCTACCACAAGGAACCAAGATTTAAAGGCAGGCAGTTATGATTCTTACCTTTGGGTCATCTCCAAACTGGCCAAATTGTACATCATTTAATAAACTACGAGCTGTTTTGATGATATCTTTACATTTTTTGGGTGTTTCTTCTACTTTCCCAGCCAGAAAGAGACAACAAGCTCCTGTTACCTAAAAAGAAGACAAAAGTTCCTGAGATACAGTTCTCAAAGCTCACACAGAAACACAAGCAAAGATTTTTGACCTTCACTCTCCTAACTTCCCCTTTCTTATTCACAAGGAGCTCAAAAGGAAATTTCACACACACACCCAATTTGGCCCCATAAATTATTTTAAATTTAATTTTCCAAAGAACATGTTATGTAAACAAAGTAGATGCCAGAAGGGAAAAAACCCACAGACACAAATTTTCTTTTCACACTGTGATCTTTGTTCCAGAAAAAGAACACAGCTAAACGCATGTCTGGTGGAGTCCATGTTTGTGCCAGTGCCCAGCTGTCCTTCCTTCCCCTCACGCTGCCTGGACCTGGTCCAGATCCCACATCACTGAGGTGGTCTCACTGCTCTCTCTCCAGTTTTTCTCCGCCTACTCTCATCTCTCCTGAATGTCTGACCCTCCACAGAATCCTCATCGTTAGATGTCAGACTCTGTGCCAGGGGTACAACGCTGACTGAGTGTCCTTCCTCTAGCACTTGTGTACAAAACTAAGGAAAATCGTAGCTAAAGGAAAAACCCCAACAGACTGACCTCCTGTTAAGTCTAATTCTGTCATCTTCTTTATGAAACTCTTTGACCACTTCAGTTTACCTATTAAAGTCTAATGCCCAAGCCTGGAGTTCAATGCTTACAATGGTCTGATCCAGTCTACCTTTCCTTCCAGGGCCCCCATTCCATTCCTGCCAAATGAACCTCCTAGCTGGGCTGGTACTCACCACGTGGTTCCTCCATGTCTTTGTCACGCTAGTTTCTGCTGGATCACTGCTCTGTCCCACCTGACATTTATAGTCAGGGCTTCATTACTGCTGGCACCTCCTCCCTAGCATATTCCCTGATCCCTCCCCAATGCATTAATCTCTCCCTTGAAGCTGCAGCCTTCCTTCTGCACCTCTCCTATGGTCTCCCCTCTACCACATATTTTGTACGTCACACCTCAGGACTAAAAGTACTGAGGCAGGTTCCCTGTCTGAGTCTCCCACAGAGCAGAAGACAGTGCATGTTAAAGGAACAACTGCAGAATGAGCAATATGGCCGGAAACATTTTTATTCCTTCTTGGCCTTTGTTGGGTCTCAATTATAAGCCCAAATTTATCTTGGCAAAGGTAATAGGGAAGTAAACTTGCACACAAAGTACAATATGACTGTTTCCATATCAGGCTAAATAAAAGGATTTGAATGTGGTTAATTAAAAAATGAAAAACAAACAAAAAATCACACACAAAGTTCAAACTTGATTTTGTTTATACATAGTATGTACTATGTAAAAATAACTACTTTCTGGAAATATAAAAATAGATTAAATTAGTTCACTGAACTGTGTGGAAATAATTACATGTGATAGAGAATTAAAATAAAATTTAAATACTTACATATCTTGGAAACTGCTTAAAGGAATGAAACATATAGAAGCGATGAAAATAAATTATTCCAGTTGCCAGGGTATCATAGTGTCTGTTGTTCTGGTTAAGGACTTTAGTCAAGAAATTGTTATTGTTTTTAGTTAAATGTGGAAAAACTAAAACAATAGCAAGCAAGTCAGTGGTAAAGTAAACACCGTCAGTAGCAAAGCAGGTATATGGGGATCTCTGTATCAGAATTCACCCCAGCAAGGTGGGTTTACACTACGAACAAGTCCAGGCTTCACCATCCTTCATCTGTGATCACTGGGGGCTGTTTTCCTCCTGGTGGCCACTTGCTCAATGGCTAAGTCTACACATTTAAATGAAAAATAGGAAACCAAAAACCCCCAAAGAGCCAAGCTAATCAGAAATAACATTAGTTAACAAAGATATTCAAGGGCCATTTTAGTACAGAGATATTACTATATGTCTATTTAAGGTAAGATTTCCTTTTTAAAAATTGATTAGAGAGAGGAAGGGAGAGGGAGAGAGATAGAAACATCAATGAGAGAAACATTATCAGCTGCCTCCTGCCCCCTACTGGAGACTGTGCCCGAAACCTGGGAATCAAATCAGAGATCTCTTGGTGCATGGGACAGTGCTCAACCAACTAAGCCACACTGGCTGGGAGATATTACTATATGTTTTATCAACAGTATCTAATTTAATTCTCAGTGTTGGCGGTGGGAAGCCTGAAACAGATTCCAAAGAGATAAGGATACAGTCCCAAACGTGTGCCCACATCAAAGATGAACCGAGCCCCCTCTCGGCGGTATCGGGCCTCAGTGGCTGGGTCAAGTCCTTCTAGCTGAGAGGGTGTATGAGCCAAGTCTTTCTTATCCCAGTACCAACATGGTTTTGTGTGGTCCAGGTTTGCTGAGGTTACTGAAGGGCTTGAATTTTCTTTATTCTCCTTCATTTATTGAAGTAGACTTGTTCTTTTCAAAAGATTCTCTGAAAATGTTAGGATCCTATGAGAAAGAGAAGCAAAGTTGGAAAGGGATACCCATGTGAAGCAATCCCGATCATTGAAGCAATCTAGAATTACAGATGGTACCTGATTTTGGATTGAAATTTCCCACAGAAACATTACTGATTGGCAGTTAAAAGCCCAAGCTGACCTCCAAAGCCAATTAAAACATTTGTACACATTGTGCCGTATAATAACGGACTTGAGCATCCATGGATTTTGGTATCCACAGAAAGTCCTGGAACCAATCCCACTAGGATACCGAAATGCAGTGAAAATAAATGTACATGGATAGAATCGAAACAGTCCTCTAAATATTCCATCCCTCTTGAAAAATTCTTACTTCAGTACTATAACCCCATTCCCTATTACTCTTCCATTATTTTTTCACAAGATCCTAAAGTCACAAATTTTCTCATTAGCAGTTCATGATTACTGTGAAAGACGGAGAGATTTATGAGCTCCACAAAGTAAAAATCTCTCCATAAACAAGCAGCATGTCAAGGCATTTTAGCAACATCTTTCAAGAATGTGCCTTTGATATTTCATTTTACATGATGAAAGGTTAAATTCAGTTTTAAACATTTAGAATTATGGATACTTACAAGTTGGAAATGGCAGTAAAGGTCATTACTTGATTTTTCACACAGTACAGAAATTCCCTCTAAACAGTAATATTTGGTCACTCACTAACCTTCATTTGGCCACTTTCATTAATGGAACTGTAACAGTTTACCAGGCAGCCTATAGCATTGCTGAGTATCAATAACTGGTATTCACATTAATTCTTTTTTAAAAAAAAATTTTTTTTATTGATTTCAGAGAGGAAGGGGGAGGGAGAGAGAAACATCAATGATGAGAGAAAATACTTGACCGGCTGCCTTTTGCACGCCCCCTACTGGGGATTGAGCCCACAACTTGGGCATGTGCCCTGACCTCCTGGTTCATATGTCAATGCTCAACCACTGAACCACACCAGCCAGGCAAACATTCATTCTTGTATTAATTTTATATTAATTTTGAGATCTGTTCTGTTCACCCCCTAGATCTGGTACATAGATGGCACAGAATAAGGAGTGAATTAAATCTACCTTTCAACAACTCTCTAGAGTTCCCACTTAGCTCCTTGAAAATAACTTGCCCTATCTACTGACTGTCTTTCAAATATGTGAAGATCGTTTTTACATTCCCGCTCTTCTCCAGGGCAAACATCCCATTTCCTCCACATAATTTTTAGTGTTTCAAGATTTCCCCCTAAATATTAGCATCCAAAATGAAAAACAATAATCTTTATATGACTGGAGTAATACACATGGGATGAGAGGTTACTAATATTCAACATGTCCAATGAGGGGCCACTGAGTTGCAGCATGCCTGCAAGTTGTTTTCTTATCTTCACAATTTATCACTGAGAAAACGGAGCTAGTGAGACAGGAAGCAACTTGCCCAATTCACACCACTAGCAAATGGCAGAGCCACAGTTTATCATTAGGTTACGATACTGCCTTTCCTCAAATGGACACTAAGTTCCTCTATAAACATAATATTATGCCCCAGAACCATTTTTGTCAAGGTAGGCCTTCTTCATCTCCAACATGGACAACTGGGTTTCTGTACATTTAATCATTCCTGGTAAATCTATATCTTGTTAGTTTGGGCCTATTATTTTAGCCTTTAAAAACTTGTGTCATTTAACATGTTAACTACAGGTTTTGAGTACATTTATTAATTTGAGAAGCATGCCTCATATATTCAAATTTGGTAATAAAAAAGTGCTAACCAGAAAAAGAGCAAGACCAGAGATCTGTAGTCTATCTCTAAAGACCTCTCTTCATTCAGGCTGACACCAACTCATGAACCAACATTCTAGGTTTGGTAACTTGAATGGATATAAATCCATCTACTTAGACCTCATCCAGTGTACATTTACCTGTGCTGAGTAGGATAGGAAGAGATTATGTTCAGTGACCTGAGGCTCTGCTGGTTTGAGCTTCCAAGTACTCACAAACTCTTTGCTCTCTGACAAGATTCTTAAATAGATTATTAAAAAGTTGTAGCATCTGAGAGCCATCTAATAGGTCTGTGATATTTATAAGACTCCAGTTTTCTATCATTAACTGTACTTTGAAGGAAAATGATTCAATCAAGAGACACAGTCAACATGAGATGTATGAGGCTGCTGCCAGTGTAACATAACATACATTATCTTTTACGAGAAAGAGTACATTCTAACGTAAAGAGTAAAAGCATAGTATAGTGAAGGAAACCACAGTTTTGTCACACTGAAGCTGCCTTCTTTGGGACATAGGTTCTAAGCTGGTTATTAAGGAACAGGACTCAAGAAAGAACCTCTGTCCCTTCCCCCTCTCCTGCCCAAGAGACTCACTCAGACAGAAAAACCTGCTTCAGGAAGGAAGGAGGATTAGGATGTCGCCTTAATCCAATTTGAACCGAGCATGGTAAATAAGAGGCTTCGGGCAGGGTCTGTAAGCTAGGTACCCCGTGTCCCACTGTTTTTGAGTGACCCAGCAAGGATTTTCCTGCCTGCCATGTATGTTCTGCTCTTCCTCAGCCCATTCTCACTTCTGAAATCTAATATCCTGTCCCCACATTTTCTCCAATGTTGCCTCCCCATCTTTGGAATTTTCATGCCTATGTGAGTGAATTCCCCATATGCATGTATTAAAATTTTTACTTTCTCCTGTTAATTTGTCTCTGTTCATTTAATTCTTGGCCCAGCTATAAGAACTTAGAAGGTGGGAGGGAAAGTATTATTCTTTTAGCTTCCACAACAGTAAATACATAAACCAGTAATATAGTCGTTTATTATCATTAGCAAGTATTACATACTGTACATAATTGTACGTGCTACGCTTTTATATGACCTTCAGTTCAGATTTGTTAACACCAGCATCACCACCAACACGTAACTTGCACTATGACATTATGCCAGCTACAGGGTCACTAGCAACGGGAATTTTACAATCTTACGGGATCACCTTTGTATGTGTTCCATCTTCGACCAAAATGTCACTATGGGGTGCATGACTGTAGCTCATTTTGTAGGCCAAAACTATGACCATTTTTTTCTTTATGATATTCAATTTTTTTGAAAGTGGCATTTAAAATGTAAGCATCTTGCCCTAGCTGGTTTGGCTGGGTGGATGGAGCGTCGGCCTGCGGACTGAAAGGTCCTGGGTTTGATTCCATCAGGGGCACATGCCTGGGTTGCAGGCTCGATCCCCAGGGGGGCGGGGGGCATCCAGGAGGTTCTCTCTCATCATTGGTGTTTCTATCTCTCTCTCCCTCTCCCTTCCTCTCTGAAATCCATAAAAATATGCTTAAAATAAAATAAAATGTAAGCATCTCAACAATGATAGTATTTCGTTATTGCTTTTGGTGCAATCTACTTTTCCAAAATGAAACAAACGTTAAACACGCTTATGCACAAGTCAGCTAATATGTTTGAAAAATATATATAATCAAAATGAGACAAAAGAAAATAAAACCCAAAATTAGATACCTGTGGTTGTCATTCTGAAACACACACACACACACACACAACAAAAAACAAGAGTCCTGGATAATTACTTAATTTACAGTCAAAATCACTTAATAGGCAAGCATCCTAATAATACAATCTTAGCCGAAATGTCTACCACCCACCCGTTCACTCTTCATTCTGCAATACAGAGCGCTATGTACGCCACGCAGGGTTCCAGGATGGGACCCCAAACCCCGGAGGATCTCTCCTTCTACCCTGTTCGTACAAACCTCCAACGCAGTGGTCCTCAACCTTCCTAATGCTGCGGCCCTTTAAATACAGTCCCTCTTGTTGTGACCCAAGCATAAAATTATTTTCATTGCTACTTCATAATTGTAATTTTGCTACTGTTATGAATCGTAATGTAAATATCTGATATGCAGGACGTATTTTCATTGTTACAAATTGAACATAATGAAAGCATAGTGATTAATCACAAAAACAATATGTAATTATATATGTGTTTTCCGATGGTCTTAGGCGACCCCTGTGAAAGGGCCGTTCGACCCCCCCAAAGGGGTCGCGACCCACAGGTTGAGAACCGCTGCTCTAACGAGCGCCTGCAACTGCAAGGCGCTGTGCTGGACCCCTCTCCAGAGAGCCTCCGAGCGAGAAACGCAGACACCAGCAGGCTCACCTTACAAATCCAGAAGGGCCACGCGCAAGGAACTGCTCTTACTGGTGGAAGCCGCGCCTAACGTCGGGTGGTGGGAGCGAAAGCTCCATTGAACCGGCAACCCACATTTTAGGGAGCGCAACCGACCGCGCTCTGTGCTGGTGAGAACAGCTGGAGGACCTCTGCACGGACGCCTCAACTCCCCAAAGAACAACTCCTTCGGGACCCAACCGCACCGGCCCAGGATAGGGTCCGCAAGAACCAGGTCTCCGCGAGAACGACTCCGGACGCGGAAGTGCCTGGTCTTCCTTCCTCTCCAGACCCCCGGGTCAGAGCACCCCGGTGTGAGCGGCGCCCGGGCCTCAGCCTGGCCAAGTTGGGACGGAGACCCCCAAGCAGCTGGGAAGACGCGGGCAGTCCGGGGCTGCGGGAGCGCGCGCGCGTGCTAAGACCCCGCCCCTTCTCCCACCAGCTACAAAGTCCCCAAACCTTAGCCGCCCCTCTGGGCGGGGCCCGCTACCCTGTGCTAGGGCGCGCGAGGGCCTTTCTCCTCCGCTCTTGAGCCTCAAAACCCTCTCCCGAATCCCGTTCCGCAGCCCCGCCATCGCCCGCTAACTTCGAGCTGACAGGGGGCAGCTGGGGGAGGCGGTATCTGGGAAGATAGACTCCACTAGGGGGTGGAGGCAGCTGGCCCTGCCCTACTGAGGCCTTTAGGTACGCGGGAGGGGGGTGGCGCTGCCCGCGATCGGTCGGTTACTCACCCCTCGCCTCCGATAAGCCCCTCAGCGACGTCTCTCCTTGCGGACCGCAGCCATCTTGGACATGGGATGTCGGGGAGTACGTCATTGCGCTGCGTCGGCGCCGGAAAACACGGAGGCACGTGTCAACCAATCAGAAGAAAGCAGAGCTCTCAACGGAGGAAAGAACAGCCAGTCATTTTCAGGCCCCGCCCCGCAGGAGGAGGAGCCTGTCAGAGGGACACTCCCGTTGGTCCCGCTCCCGGGGCTAAGGAAGTTCGGCAGCAACCGAACGTGCTAACGGAATTTGGACGCGAGAGGAGGGGCCCGAAGAGCCAGTCTTCCAATCAGCGTCCGGGCGTGGCACAGTTCCGCCAATTGTGGCCCCGGAGCTGAGGGGGCTGTGCCGACAGTTCAGGCTCCAGGAGCCGGCAGGCCCAATGGTTGGGGAGGAGCCCGAGCAAAACGGTAGGGGAGCGATGGGGCGGAACCGCGCCCATGCGTTCAGCTTTGGGCCAATGAGCGGTGGCG